ACCTGACCCATCACCCTCACCTAGAGACCAGCCTGGCTCTTAATGACTCACAGTGGTCCTGTTTCCATCTGGGTACAAGCAAGCTTGGTTTTCTGAGAGAGGTGGCTAATGGAGATGCTGAATTACAGCATATGTCCCTCTGTGACTGATAGAATTCAACAAAAACAGCAGCTAAGGATTTTCAGACCTACCTCTGGCCTTTGATTTGAGTGACCTATACATTGTCCTGTCCACTTTTTTTTTTCCCCACAGGCAGAGTTAGACAGTGAGAGAGAGAGAGAGAGAGAGAGAGAGAGAAAGGTCTTCCTTTTTCTGTTGGTACACCCCCCAAGTGGCCACCATGGCTGGCGCAGTGCGGCCGGCGCACCGCACCAATCTGAAGCCAGGAGCCAGATGCTTCCTCCTGTTCTCCCATGTGGGTGTAGGGCCCAAGGACCTGGGCCATCCTCCACTGCACTCCCAGGCCACAGCAGAGAGCTGGACTGGAAGAGGAGCAACCGGGACAGAATCTGGCGCCCCAATTGGGACTAGAACCCGGGGTGCTGGTGCTGCAGGCGGAGGATTAGCCTACTGAGCCGTGGCGCCGGCCCTGTCCTGTCCACTTTTTGCACCCTAGAGGAAAAACTGAATCTGGGTTGAGGCCCAAGCTCATGTTGACTCCCTGGCAGCTTAAGAGCCCAGCCAATACGCTGTGGGAACCATGGAAGTCAACAGAATCTACTTTGAATTACAAAAGAGGTCCTAAGGATTTAGGGTGCCATGAGCATATATAACTATCCATCTAGTGGCTGGGATGAAAAAAATATTATCAAGCCCATAAATGAGGACAGTCAAGGAGGTAACAGCATATAACAGTTTTATTCCAGGGATGGCTAGTTGAGGCCTTCATGAGATTCACCAACATAGACTGACACTGCTCAAAGACAGTTTTTACTCAGTACCCATTTCAACTGTGACAGGGCTAACTAAGGAACTCAGGCGGCTTCCACAACCCATGTGATCCAAGTGCTTGGGCCCCTGAACCCACGTGGGAGACCCAGGAGCAGTTCCTGGCTCCTGGCTTCAGATCTGCCCAGCTATGGCCGTTGTGGCCATTTGGAGAGTGAACCAACAGATCGAAGGCCTTTCTTTCTTGTCTCTCCCTGTCTGTAACTCTACCTCTCAAATAAATGAAATCTTTAATAAAATTTAAAAAGTCACATGAGGAATACTGAATGGCTTAGGACCTCAGGACTATAAATGAGGCTGTCATCTTGTTTCATCCTATTGTACCAAACCCCTATATTATCTAGCCCAGCTGTCTGAAAGTACCACCTAGGTCAGTCCTAGACCTGAAAGACTCTATATACCCTTCAGAATCTCAGTTCACATTTGAATGGATTCATCCAGCATCAAACTTAAGAATACACCTGGAGAGGCCTTCCTAAAGGTGTTGGGGATAGCTCTCTGTTTGGTAATGCCCTTGCCAAGGAACTTAGCTCAAATTAAAGATCAGAGTTATTTTACAATGTGTAAATGAGATCTTTATCTGCAATTCCCCCCCTAAGGAGGGTTTGGATGAAAACACCAATCAGGCCATACATTTTTTTAGGGGAATAAGGATATAAAATTTGCCCCAATCAAGCCCAGATCTCCAAACAAGAAGTAGTCTACCTGGGATATGTCCTGATTCCAGGAAAGCATACTCTTGCTTAAACAAAAGGAAGCCATACTGTGTGTCAGGCTGCCACACAGATGGCTGAAGGGCATTCCTGAGAAGGCAGGATTCTGAAGGATCTGGATTCCTGGATTTGGGTTGACAGCTAGACCTCTGTATGAGGCCTTAAAGGTTCCTGATATTGGTTCACTTAAATGGACAGGAAAGCAACTTGAGGACTCTCAAAAGATTAAGGGTCTGTTGATAATGGCCCTTGCACTAAATCTCTTAACCCTGTTTGAGGACTATTCTTTGCCTTTCTGCTACAGTGTATTCACCCCAAAACTGGGACTACTTGCATCATCAGTAGCCTACTTTTCTAAACAACTGGACTTAGTGGCCACAGGGTAACTTTGATACTTGAGAGCAGTTGCTGCTACCACACTTTACTGGTAGAGGAAACCACCAAATTGACTTTAGGCCAGCCTCTTCAAGTTCAATCGCCACACCTAGTACAAAGGGTTCTAAAGATTAAAGGACACCAATGCCTTGCTAAATATCAGGTTCTCCTTCTAGATCGACCAGAATTAACTCTCAGGCATTCCAGGTCTTCAGTCCAGGTACTCTTTTGCCACCTAAAGACACTGAGAAGCTAGGGACCACAGAACAGGTCTACTCTAGCAGACCTAGATCAGGTCTACAAGATGAACTTCTGGAAAGCCGGGATGTTGACTGGTTCATTGATAGCAGTTTCATGAAGTATTCAGAGAGGCAGGAGATGCCAATAGCAGACTTTACTCAAATTGTGGAAACTCAGGCATTATTACCCAACAGCTCAGTTCTAAAGCCAAACTCACCACCTTGATGAGAGCCTGAGGATGGAGAAAGGCCAGAGTCAACATTTACACAAGACTTCCAGTGTGCATTCCCTGTTCTACATGTACACGAAAATTTGAAAACAGGCCTACTGGTTGAAAAAATTTCCCATCAAACATGGCCAAGAATTTGGCTCTCCTCCAGGCAGTTCTGGACAAACACACAATACAAACTTTGAGAAAGGTCCACACTGAGTGTGAGCTGTGACAGCAAGACGCCGATCTGTTTTTGACATTTGGGTCACTCTGTTGTGCAGCAGTCCACTCACTGGGAAAAGTGGCCACAGCTCTCTATGTGTCCGAACTCCTCAGAGGCCTCCCCGACCTCTCAGCTTATGCAGTATTCAGTCATTCCCTAGTCCATTATTTTGTTATCAGTTTTTGTTTCAATTTGTCACTAATCATGATGTGTAGTTATTTAAATTTACATATTTATTACTTGTTTTTCTTGATTAGAATGAGAATTGCATGAGGGTAGGGATTTTGGCTTGTTATATGAAACTGCAGACACTAATGAAGTTTCTAAAAATAAGGAGAAAAATACGTATGAAGGTGAAGCCAAAGCAGCTGGAGGACAAGGGCTGCTGCAGCAGTCTGTTTAGTCAGCTACTGAAGTCAGCTTTTTGTGGGTTTTCTGTGTAACGAGTATGTGTGAAGCAAGGACCATCATTTATGCTCATTATTCAAAAAACAAAAAGGCAAAAATAACTGAAATTAGAAGAAATATAGTTTGTTAAAAACTTCTTCAATTCCCAAAACAATATCTGCAAATAAAGCGTTTCTTGCACTTGCAATGTTTGCTCTATTTTAATTTGTTGTATTTTTATTTTTAGAATCACAACATACCTGAGGGAAATTTTTTTTTGTGTTCTGTCAAAAGTATGTATCTTTAAATGAAACAAAATACTTAGTTTTTTTTTCCTTTTCTTTATTTTTTATACATTAAAACCCATGAAATAAAAAGTATCAGAAAGACAATGTCAACAGAATTTGAAAGTAGTCTAAGAGTTCTTAGTAAGAATATTTAACTTTTGGTTTATCTCACAGAAGTTCTTTAATAAACTTTTTAACATCTTTCTACAACCAAACATAAATAGCTGAGACAAAATCAATTTTTGACTAACAGTTAATACTACTGCTTTCATACCAATTTGGAGTTCTGAGTTTCACAGACTATTTTCAAATAAAACAACTCTCTGAACAAAAAGTTGTTATTTTAAAATTGCTTTAATTCTACCTTTCCAAATTCTTTCTTTTAATTACAATAACTTCCTTAACTTTCTTTTTTTTTTAAAGATATAAAAGTTAACTAAGTATCCTGAATTCCACTATATTTGGTTAATATATCTGAAGGGTCTTCTCTTGGGAGCTCCTCAGTGTTATTTCTAAACTGAAAAAATAGTTATTTTACATTAAACAAGGAAGGATTATACTCTTTGGAGGCCTGTGCCAGGTAACAAACAACATTTGCTAACATAAAAGTCACTGAAGCTTTGCTACTTATTTAAGTTCAGTCAAAGCAAATCCCTTGCCACATTTTCAGGCCAAGCAGAGCTTGAGGAAAGGCTATCCAATTCTGAAGACTTTCTGACTGCGAGCTTAAGAGAAAACAGGATTGGTTGCTGACTGAGCAAGAGAGGTAATGGATGCACACAGACACTGCTCAAGACTGTAGCTTCATATTAAATTCTATTGTCCTATGATAATTATTACTTAGAGATAATTTACTTTTGCTAAGTATTGAAAAAGAAAAAAAATAACCAGAGCATTAAAAAACTTGGTATTTGTGCTGCATTATTTGAGTTACTGCAACACAGCTAACTGCCTAAGATAAACACTATTTCCTATTATTTGCTACAAAATCATTAAAAGAACTACTTAAATTCTGAAATAAAAATAAATAATTATAATATTGTGAGGATGGCTCTTGTGGAAAAAGGCATTAAAAGTGCTTTAATTCCAACATAGTAAATTAAAACTGCTTTTAACATAAAATTAAAAAAAAACTCTACTCAAGTAAACACTCAAAATATACAAACCAATTCCTCTATTTAAAAATATTTTACAAGTAAAAATTATAAAACATTGAAATTAAAATAATTCACCATATCTGACACAGAATTATAAATTATATGAACAAAGTATGAAACAAATATAAAATTATCCAAGAAAATAACTATTTTCAAGCCAAATGGCACAGCACCATAAACAAAGTACTAAAAAAATAACAGAAACAAGAATGTGGATTTAAAGATTTTACCAGCACCACTTAATGCTTAATCATATTAAATGTTACATTAACTCCCCTTATATTACATAGAAATAATTTTGGTGTTTCAGATGTTAGAAATTGATTTCCTATTGCCTATGTGATATATTGTTGTCTTTATAATTTTATAAAGAGCCATATGGTATCTTCTACCACATTTACATACACTTAAAATGTTAAATGTTACAATAAAAATATATAAGTAAAAAATACTTGGAAAAACTTGTTAAATCTCCTTTATTTCAGTAGACAGAAGACTACTTTCAACATCCTGGATGAAAGGGTTCTTGTTGCCATGGAGCTGCAAGAAAAAGAAGACACAAAAATTGGAGATCGATGATGCAGACCAGTGGAATATAATGGCACAGTGGAAAGAATCTGAGTTTAAGCCAGAGGCAGCCCAGCTATAAGATCTTCAGTTATTTAAGGCTCTAGGAGGGAACTTCCCTCATTTCTCAGGTATCATGGACGAATCAGATGTAACAAAGGACATGAGGCACTGGCTCACCTGACTCAACCAGGCATCTTCCTAAGTCCCATTTCCTGGGGCCAAACACAAAGCGTCATGAGCAAAACAGTGATAAAATGGGTCAAAGGAATTTTCACATCTTCTCCTTAAATTTTGTTTATTTGACAAGGAGATGAAGAGGGTTAGAGAGGAAAGGATAGACAGAGGTGGGGGGGGGGAGAGGAAGAAGGGAGAGGGAGAGAGAGAGAAAGGAGCACGTTCTTATCTATTGGGTCACTCCCCAGAAGCCTCTAATGGTTGGGGTGGGCGAAGCCAAAGCCAGAAGCCTAGAACTCAAACCAGGTCTTCCAGTGGGTGGCAGGAACCCAACTGCATGAGCTAGTATGCTGCCTCCTAGGGTCTGCAACAACAGCAGCTGGAGTTAGGAGCTGGAGCTGTCATCACCAGCCGTAGCAAACTGATGTGGATATGTGTCCATCGGTGTACAGTCACTCAGCTAAGTGCTTGTTCCTTACATCTTTTTAAGAGAAGTGATTTCTGTGGATCATTTGCACTCAAGAAAACTAAAAGATGTTCTTCTAACATTGTAACTGCTTCATTTTTTTAAGAGTGATGCTTGACTACTGGAAGTAATACTTTTTCTTTTATTTTCACTCAACCAAAATAACCAAGGAGACAGTCATTCAGATTTTTCATAGTCACAGCTGGACTTGATTCAGAGCTATCTTTTTAAACATCACAAACAACTATTAAGAACACAAGAGGCCAGTGCCGTGGCTCACTAGGCTAATCCTCCGCCTGCGGCCCCGGCACACTGGGTTCTAGTCCTGGTCAGGGCACCGGATTCTGTCCCGGTTGCCCCTCTTCAGGCCAGCTCTCTGCTGTGGCCCGGAAGTGCAGTGGAGGATGGCCCAAGTGCTTGGGCCCTGCACCCCATGGGAGATCAGAAGCACCTGGCTCCTGGCTTCGGATCGGCGCGATGCGCTGGCTGCAGCGCACCGGCCGCAGCAGCTATTGGAGGGTGAACCAACGGCAAAGGAAGACCTTTCTCTCTGTCTCTCTATCCACTCTGCCTGTCCAAAACAACAACAATAACAACAACAACACAAGAAAGTCCAAAAAAATGAGAGCTTTTATGAAGTAACTGCAATCAAGATTTCTTATTTCGGGGAACTGGTATTTCAGCCTAGCAGTTAGGATGCCCACATTCCAGAGAATGGCTGGGTTTGATTATCAGCTCCAGCTGTGTTTCCAGCTTTATGCCGGTGCTGACCTTGGGAAGCAACAGTGATCACTCAAGAACTGGGTTCATGCCACCGAAGTGGGAGAGAGCTGCACTGAGATTATAGCTTTGGCCTGCCCCGGCCAGCCCAGCCTCAGCGCCATGGGTATTTGAGGAGTGAACCAGTGCACACACATGCCTGCATGTACACACACTCTCCCTCTCAAATTAAAAAAAAAAAGAATTCCCTATTTCAGAAATTGAAGTGTCTTAAGTTTACAGGTTTGCTACATCTACTGTGTTTGGCGTTTATCCCTGTATCATCAGCAATGGTATAAAATTCACCCAAAGAGAAAAAAAAGTCATGTTTTCTATCTTCCTGTGCAGTTTTTCTCAGATAAAAAGTTTCCAATCCTGTTTAAAACATTTTGTGGGCCAAGGAGAGAACAGAACAGTAACAGTTTATTGCAATACTACCTAATAAATGGGGCCGGTGCTGTGGCGCAGCAGATTGGCGTCCTGGCCTAAGGTACTGGCATCCTATATGGGCGCTGGTTCGAGACCTGGTTGCTCCACTTCCAATCCAGCTCTCTGCTGTGGCCTGGAAAAGCAGTGGAGGTTGGCCCAAGTCCTTGGGCCCCTGAGCCTGTGTGGGAGACTTGGAAGAAGCTCCTAGCTCCTGGCTTCGGATTGGCGGAGCTCTGGCCATTGCGGCCAATTGAAGAGTGAACCATCGGATGGAAGACCTCTCTCTCTGTGAGTAACTCTTCAGATAAATAGATAAATCTTAAAAAAAAAAAAAAACCTACCTAATACATACCCTATCATGTGAGAAAAAGAAGCAAAAAGTACTACAGAAGTACCAGAGACATTGTCACATGGGTATACAGAAAGACTTCAATGTGGCTTGAATATGACGGGGAAATTGTGGGAGACGAGGGTGGTTACAAAGGATTGTGAAGCTGAAGTATCTGAATTTTATTCTATAGGTTATGGTGAATCAGTGGTAACTCCAGCACAGAGGTGCCCATCAAAAACAAATTACTGAAATAGCTTTGTGTCTCATTCAGGCAAATGTCTTCTCATTTTTTCTACTTACTAATTTCTAAGAGCATCCAGGGTCTGAAAAGAACTTTTTTAAAAAAAGATTTATTTATTTATTCATATATTTGAAAGGCAGAGTTACAGAGAGGCAGAGGCAGAGAGAGAGAGAGGTCTTCCATCTGCTGGTTTACTCCTCAGATGGCCGCAATGGCCAGAGCTGTGCTAATCCAAAGCTAGGAGCCAAGAGTTTCTACTGGATCTCTATGGGTGCAGGGGCGCAAGGACTTGGGCCATCTTCTATCGCTTTCCCAAGCTATAGCAGAGAGCTAGATCAGAAGTGGAGCAGCGGGAACTTGAACTGGCATCCATAAGGGATGCAGACCAGGGCTTTAACCTGCTGCGCCACGGTGCCAGCCCCCTGAGAAGAACTTTTCAAAATTCTCTTGCATTTCAATGTTTAAGGTTACACAGAGACGATTACTTTTGTTTAAAGTACATTTTATCTATGATATTAGAATATTTTTATGTTAATTTTAAACTTTAGCTCTGATAAATGCATATTTCAATTCAACTTATAAACCTATATTCTAATCATGATAGTTTAAAAACAGAATTAAGTATTTAAAATAGGAAAATTTCCAAGATCCAGAGGCAAACTACCAAGCTCTTCTAATAAAATGTTTCAATTAACTCCATCTACTTACACCAAGATATCAGAATACTGAGAGCAAGATAGAGTTTGCTTTATCTGACTGAATTTTTTGCTATCTTGTTTTTAACTCTATTTTCCCCTTTGATTATCAAAACAATGTATGTTTTTCACAGTATAGAATACAGAAAACCTCTCTGCTAAAGCAAAATTTTATCACCTGGAGGTAGTCAGGTTAACATGTTGATGTATTTCATTTCAGTAGTTCCTTTTTGTTTTTTAAAAGGATTTATTTATTTATTTGCGAGGCAGAGTTACAAAGAGAGGGAGAGACAGAGAAGTCTTCCATCCTCTGGTTCACTCTCCAAATGGCTGCAGCTTAGAACTGGGATGTTCTGAAGCCAAGAGCTTCTTCTGGGTCTCCCATGTGGGTGCAGGTGCCCAAGCACTCTGGGCCATCTTCCACTGCTTTCCCAGGCCATAGCAGAGAGCTGGATAGGAAGTGGAGTAGCTGGGACATGAACCAATGCCCATGTGGGATGCAGGCACCACAAGCGAAGGATTAATCTAGTATGCCACAGCACCAGCCCCTCATTTCAGTATTTTTATTTATTATTATTTACTTATTTATTTATACAGGTTAGTTTTACAAGATACAGTTTTAAAAAGTGTCATGTCATTAAAAAACTTTTATAAACCCTTTAATAGTTGCATTTTATTTCTGCAAAATATAAACTATAATTTACTAAACCATTTCTTAAATTTGGGTTCTACCATAGGACATAACGATAGGACCAAGCTTCTTTAATCTCAGGTAACTAGATTTCCCAGAAAATGAAATTCAACTCTGCCTGATACATGAACAACTCTACAAACTTTACAGAAGGAATGCTAGCTGCATCACTTATTGTGAGCTCCATTTACATAAATGGACAAGGTTAAAAATGCAAATTCAGGGAAGTATTAAAATTTGTGAAACTCACCAAAAACCCAAGGAACCTCTGGAAGCACACCTGTATTAGGAGGGTACGGGTATGTAGTCTGTGGCAATGGTTGATGAGAAGCATACTGTGAAAAAGTGGGCTGCTGAAAATTGTAAGAAACTGGCATCGGAGATTGAAAATATCCATTCACTGGCACCCAACCATTTGCTTGTCTCTCCCCAGAAAAGTAACTAAACGATTGAGAGTAAAGATGATTAGAATTTGTGTTCTGGACAGTACTTGCAACTGCAGTGATCATCCCAGGAGGCGGCTGTACTTGGTAAGATGTTATCCCTTGGTATGTCTGGGTAATGGCATTGCCACTGCTGCTGCTGTAGTGATAAACACACCAAGCATAGTACGGATACGAAGTTCCAAATGAATGCTCAGAAGAATTACCCAGCGGGGTGTAGGGAAGCTGTGGAAGCCCATTCCAATCTGAGGCAGCATTCTGAGCTAGGACTTTGGAATTCTCATCAGTCTGTGGATCGAAAAAAGAGCACTCTGCTCTTTGATTCACATTAAGTTTAATGTCCCCAGATTCTCCAAAAGGTACGCTACTGGGATTCAATGTGTCCTTCAAACATTTTCCCTCCAGCTCAGGTTTTCCCGGCTCTATTTTATTTATTTCCAGAACAGGAATTTTGTCCTGAATACATACGGGTTCTGGAGAACTGGTACATGTAGAATTTTTAATAGATGAATTCAATATTTCATTATCTTGAAATTCAACGATGGTATCATTAACTTCTAGATTACTATGGATATCAAAATGTAACACAGTCTTTGACAGCACTGACGCATGATGCCCAAGAGAATCATTATTTCCTGGTTTTATGTTTGAAAGACTAGATTTCTGTGTGAGATCTGGGGAATCTTTTAGAAATATCTGAGGAGGTGTCTCAAGGTCCTTCAAAAATGTGCCATCTGCACTCTTTTGTTCACAAATCACAAAAGCAGCACAATCTTTCATATCACTTTTTGTTTCAGTAGCAGTGAAATTCACATGTCTTTTCTTTATTCTATTTAAGCTTCCCTGTTGCCCACTGAGGTGTTCTGAAGTATCCAATGAAATATTAATTGAATCTACTTTGCTTTCTGCTTTTGTAGTGCAACTCTCCTTTAGGTTCTTTAAAGGTGAGACTGAGCCAAGTGGTGATCTCTGCATTTCAACCTTTTCTGGAGATACAGGCTTTCTTCTTCGGTTGTCAGATAAATGCAATCTCACTTGGTTTTCATTTTGGGGGTGATATCCTGCAATCCTAAATATGGATATAACAATACATGGTACAACTTTATAGAGTCACAAAATTTTAACAGAAATGTGTATCTGAAATCTTTATTCAGGAGGAATATCCTGATGGACCATTTTCTCATTTTATTGGCAGTATACAAGCAAAACATTTTCTCAGTTTTACTCACCTTAATTTAGACACTTTTCCTGCAAAAGTTGTAACACTACACGTTTAAAATGTATTTTTTTTAAAAAAGATTTATTTTGTTTATTTGAAAGACAGAGCTAGAGAGGTGGAACCAGAGAGAGAGAGAGAGGGAGAGAGAATCCTCCATCCTCTGGTTCACTCCCCAAATGACAATGGTCAAAGCTGAGCTGATCTGAAGCCAGGAGCCAGGAGTTTCTTCCGGGTCTCCCACAAAGGTGCAGGGGCCCAAGGACTTGGGCCATCTTCCACTGCTTTCCCAGGCCATAGCAGAGAGTTGGATCGGAAGTGGAGCAGCTGGGACTCAAACCGGCACCCATATGGGGTGCCGGCGCTGCAGGCTGTGGCTTTAACCTGCTGCGCCACAGAGCTGGCCCCCAAATGTACTTTCAATATTGTAATTATCTTGTGCTTTGAATATTTTCTGATAGAGGCTTTAAAAAGTTGGAAATTATTATTATTTAATTGTTCACTATAGTTTTAATATCCCTGCAATTCTTAGCTAAATTTAGACAGTCTAACTCATTGTGGGAGTATCTAAAACCAGCTAACACAGGTCTCCAATATAACCTGATGACAGGAAATGAGTAATATAAAATAAACAGTACCAGTATAATTGTATTTTTTGGCACTCAATCAAATTTTCTGAATTATAGATGGAAAAGAGAAGTAAAAAGAAGTATTACTATCTACAGTCAAGAGAAATTTGTCTTGGACACAGAATTTGTATATCCCCCTTAGGAAATTAAAAGTCCCATGTTTTACTGAAGCCAGCTACCTCAAAAGGCATTTTAATGATGACCGGCATTGTCATCCAATACCATGTAATACTTCTGAGTTTTCAGAAAATATAATTCTGGGGCTGGTGTGTGGCACAGTGAGTTAAGCTGTAGCCTGCAGTGCCAACATCCCATATAGGCTCTGGTTTGAGCCTTGGCTGCTCCTCTTCTGATCCCGCTTCCCGGTAACTGCCTGGGAAAGCAGATGATGGCCTAAGTACTCGGGCCCCTGTACCTCCATGGAAGACCCAGAAGCAGCAGCTGGCTCCTGGCTGTGGCCTGGCCCAGAACCAACCATGCGGTCATTTGGGGAGTGAATCGGTGGATGGATGATCTCTCTCTCTCTCTCTCTCCTCTTCTCTAACTCTGTACTTCAAAATAAATAAAATAAAAAAGAAAGTATAATTTTTATCATATTTCCAATGATGTCGACCTTATAGATTTGCCAATTCCCTGGATGCTCTGTCCGTTTATTCACTTCTGTGAAGAAAGCTTCCTATACTAATTTTAAATTAAAATTAATATTTTTTGCTAAGGTGAGTCAACAGATTGTAATTCTTTGAGAAGCAAAGAATCCTCCTAATATCCTATTAATTTTTATGTCATTATTCAACTGTTCAGAGAAAAATGTGTTAGGAAAAGGATTCTAGAAATGTTGCAAATAAAACACTCTTTTTAAAGAAGCCAAATCAAATAAGACAGTAATGAGATCACTTATTTCTCCATTTTAAAGAAAATAAAAATTTGCTTCACAAAATAACAAAAATGAAGCTAGTCATAAGATTTAAAATTTTACAAAGTGAAACGAGATGTGTCAACAAGCCCAGTGACACTACTTCATGTCAAAATGAGAATATAAATAATTGAAATAATATGGTGAGTTTTCATAATTTATTCAGTTCAAATACTTTTTACACTATTAAAATATTTAATGAAAGTCTATACTAATAGAATATATGTATATATCTACAAAACACATACTATTTAATGTTTCCACTTAGTAATATAAATTGGCAATTTATACTGCTTTAATTTTGGCTAGTCTGTAAAATCTGCAAATGTAAAAAATCTTTTCTGTTCTTTGTAATAAAACAGTTGTCAGTCCTATAATTTGTTAAGTAGTACCTGTCAAATAAAGATTTTCCTTTCTTATTCTCTAAAACAATCACCTTTTTGAGGTTTGGCTAACTTCTTTATACTGTATATAGAATCACTTTACCTTTTTTATTTTAAATCACAGAGAAACACGTTTCACATGCCATTAGTCTTCAATACTTACAGAATCGTTCAAGTTCCTCAGGCTTAACTGAAGACACTGTGTAATGTGAAACAAATTTCTTCTCCTGCCTTAGTTTACTCTCATATCCCAAGTTACACAAATTAGCCAATAAAACTAGGTAAGTACTTGTTTTATTATTATTCCTTAGTGTTTTGCATTTGTAAAACGTTTTTCTTCAGACAGGGCTGACGGCAACTCCTACCTTGGATGCTTGACTGCTATCTTTTTTCTGTTGATTTTGGTCTCATCTTTCATGTTAACCTATGTTTGAGAGACATAAAATCTACATTGGTGATGACAAATTATAATACCAATACTACTTTAATACTAGATATCTGCAACCATCTACAACTAAACTCAATTAATGATCCATTACTTCTCTAAAAATAAATGACTCCCTAGAGTTCTGATATTCATGTATGTATGGAGTAACTTTTTAAGAAATTTTAAGTCTTCTTATCCTTACATTTAAAAACTAACCTGTGTCCACAAACACCTGCTGCTCTTTGTACCCTTTATAGATACTAAGCACCATCAAAATGACAAATACAGGCAGAGTGTCTCTACTCTGAAAATATGAAATCCGAAATGCTCTAAAATTCAAAACTTGCAGAGCACTGACTTGACAATACCAAGTAGAAAATTCCACATCATAAACTGATTCACACACAGAACTATTAAAAATATTGCATAATATTACCTTCAGGTTGCTTGTATATAGTGTATATAAAATATAAACAAACCTCATATTTAGATTTCAGTTCCATATCCAAGATATCTATTATGCATATGAAAATAGCCCCCATTCCAGAAAAATCCAAAATGTAAAACATTTCTGGTCCCAAGAATTTTGTGTTAAGAGACACTTAGCCTGTATAATTTTTCCTTTCTTATTTTGTTAAACTGCTTTTTTTTTTTTTTTTTTTTTTTTCCCTTTGACAGGCAGAGTGGACAGTGAGAGAGAAAGAGACAGAGAGAAAGGTCTTCCTTTACTGTTGGTTCACCCACCAATGGCCACTGATCGGAAGCCAGGAGCCAGGTGCTTCTCCTGGTCTCCCATGCGAGTGCAGGGCCCAAGCACTTGGGCCATCCTCCACTGCACTCCCGGGCCACAGCAGAGAGCTGGACTGGAAGAGGAGCAACCGAAACTGCACCTTTTTCTAAGCCATCACTGACAAACTACTTCTAAACACAATACTTATCTTTTAAATCAATAAAAAACATATTTCTCATGACAATACATTTCATTGTGTACAGAATAAAGTTCAATTCTTTAGGTCTATATTTAAGACAGTATAATCTGAAACAATCTTCTCCAACCTTAGCTTCTCTCGCCTACTAGAACTGCTTCAAATTCAATTTTAAACTCATGTCTGAAATGTTGCTAGTAAGCCTTGCTCACCTTGTCTTCTAGAACTGAAACATACTCTTCATTTTTAATCTTCATCTGATAGTGTTTTTTCTTTACAAGCAGAGGTTTTCTCTGTGTTGTTCATGAAATATATACATTTTCTAATTATCTTTCCTATCAGTATCTACACCTTTTTTAGTATCTCATTTACTTATTACAATTTTATTTATTTGAGAGAGTATGAGAGCACAAGAGAACGAGAGAGGAATCTTTCATCCGTTGCCTCACTTCCTACATGCCTGCAGGAGCTGGGGCTAGGTCAGGCCTAAGCCAAGAGCTGAGAATTCAATGTGAGTCTGCCATGTGAACGGCACAGCTATTGGGCTATCATCTGCTGCCTTCACACTCTAATTTACTGTTGTTGTTGTTCATAATTTATTCTTGATGTGGAGTATACAACATGTGTTACTGTGCTCCGTAACTATGTTAAACAGCTGGATGTTTAAGTATTTTCCTATAAACACAGTACAATCGATGGTTATTAGATTCCCAATCTAGAACTAGTTTAAACACAATTACAGACAGCAAACAATCAGTCTTACTTTTTATTTTGCATATGTTTGTTTCTTTACTTCTGAACTCAAGAATTCTTGAAAAGTTATAGGCTCTGAAAGCAGAGCACTTGCTAATATGGTTTATGGAGTTAGACTGGCTGGTTTAGCTTTAGGCTCTTCCATTTTCTAACTCTGTGACCTTGGAAAAGTAATTTAGTTTTTTGATGCCTTAGTTTTCTGACCTTTAAAGAAAACAGTTTACTGTAACATTTTTATGAAGAAAAATGAGTATTTGTATCATTCTTAGGGCAATGCCAAATACATAATGCCATATAAAATTTGATAAAATTCAATTATATGATTTCTAACTCCTTCAAAATCATGTTTAACAATTTCTGTCCTGGGATGGGCATCTGGTTTAGCAGACAGGATGTCCATATCTCACATGAGAGTGACTGAGTTCAACTTCAAGTTTTAGGTCCTGATACCAGCTTTTTGCTAATATAGACTCTGAGAGGCAGTGGTGGTATTTCAGGTAGTTGGGTTTCTGCTACTGCATGGGAGACATGGATTAGATTTGTAGCTCCTGGTTGTTGTGGGCATTTGGGGAGTGAACCACTGGATGGCAACATTCTTTTTGTATCTACTTCTTAAAGACTAAAACAAACAAAACTGTCCTACTTTGGATGGTAATGATCAAGTAGATAGGCTTCCTTACCCAATTTTTAATATTCATTACACACTCGGCAAAGGATTATGCAGAAGCTACTCAAATACCTGGTCATTCACTTAACTCATAATATAGGATTCTCCCTTAAGAAATTATTAAAATTCACATTCTTCCAAAAAAATGTTTTCTTAGTTGGAACAAGTGTGTGGCACAGTAGGTTAAGCCCCAGCCTGGGACATCTGCATTCCACTGGAATGCCTAGGAGGAGTCCTGCCTCTGCTTCCCATCCAGTTCCCTGCAAAAGAACACCCTGGGAGGCAGTATGTGATGGTTTAAGTACTTGGGTCTCGAATGCCATCCATGGAGAACACCTGGATGCAGATCCTGGTCCCTGGCTTTGGCCTAGCCCAGGCATTTGAGGAGTGAACCATGGGTGGAAGACCTCTCTCTCCTTCTGCTTTTCAAATAAATAAAAATACAAAGTTGATAGCTGCAAGTTATGTCTTATATACAGAATAATGAACACATGAACATAATTTTATGGATAAAATGAATTAATCCAATACTTTCATTAGTAAATTAATTTTGTGAGGCAGTATTTAAACCACTCTCAAATTTTACAATTCGGGGCCGGTGCTGCGGCACAGCGGGTTAAAGCCCTGGCTTGAAGCACTGGCATCCCATATGGGTGCCGGTTCTGGTCCCAGCTGCTCCTCTTCCAATCCAGCTCACTGCTGTGGTCTGGGATAGCAGAAGATGGCCCCGGTCCTTGAGCCCCTGCACCTGCGTGGGAGACCTGGAAGAAGCTCCTGGCTCTTGGCTTTGGAATGACACAGCTCCAGCCTTTGCGGCCATCTGGAGAGTGAACTATTAGATGGAAGACCTCTCTGTCTCTCTCTCTCTCTCTCTCTCTGTAACTCTTGTCTTTCAAATAAATAAAATAAATCTTTAAAAAAAGAAAAGTTTTACAATTCTGCAAAACTACTTGTTTGCTCAAACAGTAAACCTGTTCTCAAAGAGACTACATACACAGATTCTGCCTTAAAGCATTCATACCTTTTGCTTTTTACAACTGGAAACAGTAGTATTTTTCTCTTTTTCCTGTGAGTCTTCACAGTTGTCTGCAGTGACAGGTTGTTTTTTAGAAGTATTTGAAACACTTTTAGTTATGTACTCTGAAACAGAACGCTTCATTGAAATACTGGACATACTGTTATTTTTTCTAGGTTTTCTAACTTGAGTATCAATATTCCCTTTTATATTCAGTTTGGAAGTACTCCTTCTATTACTTAGCACTTGGCATAGGATGAAGGAAATAGCTAATTTGGCATTTTTAACACATATAATCTTCAAATGTTCAATCGTTTTCATGACTTTCATAATATGGGCCATTTTTCCCAAATCTTTCTGAGGGGCAGCCATCACATTTTTGAGTAGTGCAGAAAACTGACTATAGTTTTGTTCTAACTCTGTCACAGTGTTTCCATAATTTATGGATGCTATATATGGCACAAAGTCAATGTACGTGGAAATGGAATATTCAGACTTCTCTACAAGATTTTTTATTTCTGTAAGTTCTTTAAATTCTCTTGAGAACAAATGAAAAGCATAAGAGCAATTAACAGCTGCACTGTATTTGCAGATAATATCCAGATCTTTCTTAACTTCAGAAATAGCAGTCTCTATCACTTTCCAAAGACAATCTGCTGAGTTATCTTTAAGAAATGAAAAAGAAGCCATGTTTTCTTGACAGTGAACCAGCTCAGGAAGAAGTGACAAATCAAACCAAAGCATACCTCGAAACCTCTGTTTGTCTAGTTTCTTTGCAATTGAGTTTTTAAGAAAATGAACTGTCTCTGAGAGCATGAGAATTTCAATATATGTTTCAATTGCTGCAGGTTTTAAAATTACAGCCCTCTGTTTGTGATTTTTTAGCACATCCAAAACGTTTTCTTCTGTAATAAAAATATTATCCATGTTTTCTTGTATCACCTGAAAGTATTTTTTTAAAGTTTCTAAGTGTTCTGTACATCTCATAGTGATATCTTGTAATTTTTCAAAGTCTGCAAATTCAGCTTGATCCAATATTTCACCAACACAAGAAATATTTAGGTGTGAAAGCGAAGTATTATTAAATCTACAGTTTTCTATGCTAATTATTGCTTTGTTTATTGGCTCTTCTGACTTTCTGGAAGCCATCACAGTAGCCTCCTCAAGCTGCATACTGGAAATTTGTTCACTGTTTAAATCTTCAGACAAGGTATCACATATCTCTTGAAACTTAGAAAAAGCACACTGATTCATTTTGAGTAGCATTTCTTTGTTTTTCTGTGAGTATTCTTTGCTGAAAGACTGTCTTTTCTCTTTCCAAACAAGATTTTTTGCAGCATCAAAAAAGATATGTTCCAGACCAAAAAGAGCTATTTTAATACTTACTGCTTCATTACTCTTAATAAAATTAACTTTTGAGGAGATCATTTCTATGATAATCCATAAATGGTCTTGTTTTCCTGGGCACAAGTGTGTTTTAGTTGAGTTCTCACATAAACTGATCAACTTTAAAGTACTTTTCCTTACATTTTCTAAGTCTCCTAAAGTGTCTCCAAAATTAACTCCACAGGTAAATGGAACAGACAGAGAAAAGTCAAAACAATCAGAACAGTTCTTCAATACGGCCTTACACTCACTAATCTGTCGTTTGTATTTTAAAAATGCATAGTATGAATTATTTTTCCTTTTCATATCATCACATAATTCAATTAACTGATTATGGTAATTCTGCATCTCACAGAAGGCATTGTATTTTAACCTTCCTTGAAAACCAGGATAGAAACTGGACTGCTGTTGATAACCACGTGGTCTGCCAAGCAGTTCACCGTATAATGTGTCATCATACCAAAGCAAGCTCCTGAATGTCACTTCACCTTCTAAAAGCCTTCTTTTGTTTTCAATGAATTGAATAGTTTCCATTATCATCTGAAGTTCTACCAAAGTGTCAACAGCACATGGTTTTAACTTATGTTTACAATTATCCCACAGGTTTTGTTCCACCAACACTTCTCTTGTAATGAGGATTTGTTCAAGGGAACATTCTTGCTTTTTTTCAAAAGCCTGAACAAACAAAGGGAGCATATTTTGGCAAACCATAGATTCTTCCTGTAGAAGCTGCAAAGATGTTGCTTCATCTGCCCTCTGCAAAATCTGAGAGAGCTCAACTAGAAGAGCCATATGACCAACTGAGTAGTGATTTTCTATTAAGTCACTTGTGTACAATGTAGGCTTTGTCGGAAGAGTAATGACTTCAGAGGTTTCAGAATGGGCAAGTGAAACAGGCATATGATTAATTTCTAGAATGCTTGGCTGGGAAATATAGTCAGACTGAGGGTGGTTACTACTTCTAATTTCACCCTCCTTCTCTTTCCTTTTTTTCAGTTGATTAGAAACTGTGCTATTTAAGCAAACTGTCTCTACAGTATTTTTAATGCTTACATGAGAATCAATCAAGTTATTTTCAGTTATTTTATCATTTAAACGGGAGTCTTCTAAAATATTATTCCTTGGATTTTTATACGCAGTCCTAATAGCTGTTGTTTCAGTCCTTCTTTTCTTGTAACGTGAATTTTTTGCTTTTTCGGTTTGTTCTGCTTCACATTTCTTTCTGTCCTTAATACGTCTCTTTGCAATACATTTTCTTGAAGAGCCCTCCCTATTATCTTTTAAGATCAGCAAATCAGCATTGGAAGATGGCTTCTTCATTATGTTTTTCCTGTAATTTTTACTTTCTTCAGTTGCTGATGTTAGGTCCAACTCAGAATTCTCAGTAACATTTGTTTCATTACCATCTATAGGGAAGCAATTACTCAAAGAACACTGTTTTGTCTTTAGAAGCTCTTTTCCATCACATATCTGTTGACAGTTTGAAGCAGTCATGGATGTTACACAAGAATCTACAGCAAAAATCCCCTGTTCATCCAAGTTAGACTTTGAATATTCTTCCTCATTCTCCATTACTGGAGTGGCTGATAACAATTGAGGAATACTGTGCTTTTTGTTTGCTATCAGAGTTAGCTTTAATGGGTCCATATGAAAATTTCCTGTAATGTTGTTTGCTCTGGAGCTCTCAAAAGGTGCAGGACACTGTTTTATAGGAAAATTTACTTCCAGATTCATTTTACAACCAGATAAAATAAGTTTACCTCGTTTGTGGATATAATTTAAAAAGTTCATTACATTTGATTCTAAGACTGAAATAAGTATGTCAGTTTTAACCTTTTTGTGAGCTAAACAAGCTTCATCATTTTTGTCTATGCTATAATTTATATTGTTTTCTTTCATGCAACTTGATGATATTGAATTATAATCATTTATTTCTTTGCTAGCTTCAGAAGTTTCTTTTGTTGCATCATTATTAGGTGGTGAACAGTTCTCAAGGTTTTCATATTTACTAATGTTAGATAAAAGTTTTCTGTCACTGTGATTTTCTTTTTCAGTTAGTTCCTCAACTGGATGGTCTGGAGGAAACAGATACTCAGTTTTCCCAGAAAAAGGCTGAAGTTCTGATGATAATGGATTACTCATACAGCTATTAATATATATTGATTGACTTGTACTTCGGGATGCAGAGGATACTGACACCTGTGATTTGCGATGTTCTTGATGACAAAACTCTGTCACATGAACAGTGGCTTGGCTTCTGGAGATGTTGCTGATCATACTTTTCTTGGAAAGGCACTTTTTGATTCTTTCTCCATTTGTTTTATAAGAATTATGCTTTGACACACTGGTTAATGACTTAGCAACATCAAATTCTGAAGCTTTTTTCTCTCCCTGTTTGTCATATTTTCTTTTTGGTAAAAAATGCTTAGTGGAATAGTATCTTCTTTCAGACACAGGACTATAACCTTGAAGATCACAACTTTCCCAAAAACTATTGCATATTATTGCATATGCTTTTGGTAATGGACCCTTTCTTTTTTCTCCCACTTTAGCTATAAGCTGCAAAGATGTGTGAACTCTTCTATGAGCTTTTTTTAAGTGAAGAACAGCTCTATCAAGTTTTCTGGAAAGACGTTTGCTTTTGCATAAAGATGCTTCATTATTTAGAATATCCAGGACGTTCCTAATATGCTTTTCTGTCAATGAAAATGTTTTAATCCGTCCTTGGGATAATGAAGAAAAACATTCCGATGAATCTTGATTAGATAGCCTCCTCTTCTTCCGACAAATTTCATGCTGTCTGAAATCATTATGTGGTATGTTCTGACTTCTGAAAGATGTGCGTAGCTTTCTTTTGCTAGTTCTTGATTCCATGTCCTTTTTATTTGTCTCATTATGATCAGTTTTTGATTTTTTAAAGGAACTTTCATCATTTACTATTGTGACATCAGAAGGTTTAGTAAATGAAGAGTCCCTATTTTGTCTTTCAGATGTGAGATTCACCTGCGGATTTTGACTCAAGTCAGAACAAAGGGAGACTTCAGATTTACTCCCTGGTCCTGATTCTTGCCTTATATTACCAGATTTATCTTCACATGGGAAAGCTGAATTTTCCCCTGACAACTGGGAAAAAATTTCAAATCCTGGAGTTTCCCCCTTCTTATTTATTTCTTGTTTTGTGGAGTCAGTTGTAGATTTGTAAAAATTATCCTTCAACCTAACATAATCAAAAGTGGGGCTGAATTCTAGCCTAAATATATTAGTAACTGTAACTTGTAGATCTGGAAGTAAAATTGGGTTGAGCATCTCTGTTGTGTTTTTCTGTGATGGAAAACAGATAGAATTACTTTCCTTACAGCAGTGCTGATCACTATCCTCCCTTCTGGCAGTGCTTTCCATGGCTCCTGTCTCCCCGTTACTGCTTCCTAGGAGACCTTCCCAGTCTATTCGACACTTCAGAGCCTCATACGAAGCCTCAAATTCTTCATCAAGCACACTCTCATGGCTATGTGTATCTTGCTGAAACAGAAAAGCATCATCATCCTGTTCTGATCCTAGTTCAATCTCATTTTCTAATTCAACACTTTGAAGAACTAAATTCTCATTTTTTGCGTGATGAAATGAATCCTGTAATTTATTTTTATCTATGTCAATTTCAGAATCAGAAACTCCAAAATCTGGATTCTCAGAAGAGTAAGATTTTTTAGGCTGGTATATTTGGTGGTCATGACTTGTGTTTAATACAGGCAAAGTAGCATCAGCTACCTGTCCTGTAGTATTTGATGTAACACACACTGAAGAACCTGGAATTTCAGAAAGTGTTATAGCATCCAAATGCTCTACGCTCCTTCCAGTATTTAGAGTATCTTTTTGTTTTATGTCAGTATCTTTGCTCTCCAATAATGCAGCTTCTGTTGATTCATATTTTGCTCCCCAAATCAAGTTAACTGTAGAAGAAAATCCTTCAGAACAAGGAGTTTCTACTTTGTTGTAATTTTTATTGTTTCTTTCTTCATCTATACTGGTCAAATTGATGTTTGTATGAAAATCCTTCTTGTCTACACATATATTCTCTATGCTGTTTTCTGAAGATGATGCACTATATTCCTTTTTATCCTCATTTTTGTTTTCTTTATCACTGTCTCTTTGTTCTCTGTAATTAATACTCAAGTATGTTTCATTGTTCAGTTGTGCATTGCAGAAAACAGTGTGATATTGACATTCATCTTCAACATTAAGAGTCTGTTTGTTGTCTCTCTGAATGTTCTCTAATGACATTGGCTCATTTTCATTATTCTCGTGAACACATGTATATTCTCCACTTACACTGCAATTTGAATTATCATAAGCTGTTTCAATGGCACAAGATGAAATAACTTTACCAACGAGTACTTCTTTGTCTTGGGGAATGTTTTCTGCTTCCTGTAAACCGTCAGTCAAAATGTTAACACAATTTTGATCTGCTTTTTCCAAATTCAGTTCCATTAACTTCTGAGCTATGGGAAAGTTTGTGTGAATGCTATCATCATACTCTAAAGAGTGCTGATTTTGTGAAAGGCTCTCTATACTTGGAGTAAGATTATTTTGTAATTCCATAGTTGGATGATCTAGTTCACTTGGATCCTTTGTGGTTGATGTGAAAGATTTTGGTATTTCTAACTCTTGAGAAATTAATATTTTATCATAGTTTTTCTGAAAAGAATCAAGAATGTCATTCTCTTCATATTCTTGGTTTAATGAAATACAATTATCTACTGGACTGACTTTTGTTTCATTAGTAAAATAGTTAATTTCTTTCCAAAAAGTGTGGTTTTCTCCATGTCTGGAATTTTCTTCTGGTTCAGTGAAGTTTCTCATCTTTCCAAGACTTTGAATGTACTCATCTATGCTTTCTTTCTTGTGGAGTGGGAAAACTGTAGATATTTGGTGGCCAATATGATCCACAGTTTTTAAATTTGAAGACTGTAATTCTTGAGGAACTTGACTACTATTTTCTTCTGTATAAGTATTTGCTGATTTATAAGAGTCATATGGCTCACTTCTGTGCTTAATTAAAAATGGACTGCTGCTTCTCTGTTGGGCTCTCTGGGATTTTTCCTCACTGTGTTTTTGAGTCTCATTGTCTGAAACAACATTTGACAGAGAAATTGGGAAGGAAACATTGCCTTGGTCCTTCCATTGTTCTGTCATGGTAACTTTACTGGGAGTTATACAATGGTTGTCCCTATAGTCCATGTGGTGAACCTGAGATTGTGTTTCGTCAACAGAAAATCTGAAGCAAGGAGCATCCACACAATTAGCAAGAACAGCAGGGTCACCAGGGACAACTTCAGATGAGATGGTGGAATTTGTTGGCACAGATGACAGATTTATTTCTGAATTAATGCAATCCAAACTCTTCTCGAATGGTACAATCTCATTAAAACTGGCAGTATTTTTCTGTTTTCCTAGGCTTTCTTCTCTCTTTGTCAGTCTTGGATCTTTGATGAGTTTTGAAGTAATAACTGTGCTGGATTCAGGATTGTTATGAAGGGGAAAAGCAGTAGAAAGACTACTTAAAATACTTTTAAGATACGTCAAATTTAACAAAAGGTCACCATCAACACTTTCTCTATTATCATTAGGCATACATGAAAGATTGGAATCATGTCCATTTGCTTGAGCAGTGCCCCTAATTTCTGTTAAATCATGGTCTGCCTGTCCACTGTATGTTTCAAGTGTAGAAATGTTTCCATTTTGTATATTTCCATAAGAATTAGAAATATCTGAGTTGGAAAGATTTTTCTCTGAATTTAGTGAATTACACGAACAATTTTCCTGAACAAATGGATCTGTAGGTTTCCTGAAATGCTCGAAGATGACAGTAGCATCTTTTCCTTTTCCAATTCTTTTAGCCACTGTACAGTTATTCAGAGAGCATGGTCTTTCTGTGAAAATAATAAAACATGAAGAAAAACCTTAGAAACAACTCTATTAATACAAATTAACTGTCATGAATAATTTTATTTTACTTAAGATTATTTATTTTCATTTTATTAAAAGGCAGAGAGACAGGGATGATGGTACGGGGGAGGGAGAATCTTCCATTCTCTGGTTCACTCTCCAAATGCCTATAATAGCCAGGAGACCGGAATTCAATCTGAGCTCCTAGGTGAGAGACAAAGCAATCATGCTTTGTCTCCCAGGGAGCTGGCTGGAATTGGAAGCAGAGCTTGCACTTGAACCCACCCACTCCAAAATGAAATGCTAACATCCCAAAGGGCATCCTGGGATGCCAAACACTCATACCTCATGAATGATTTTAAGAGAAAGATAATATCCAAATGGAGACTTAAATGTATTCTCAGCAGAAAAAACAAAGAAAAAAGAATGAGTAACAAAACAAAGTGTAAATGATGCAGCTTGAAATTCCATCCTAGTCTAGTCTAGGAAAAATCATTAAAACATATATTTGCTATTAAAAAACTGAATTTGAAAAAACAAGAATTTGGACAAATAAGAAATAGCTGAGTGAAATAATAATAAAATATCTTTCTCAATAGATTAGGTTTTGCTTGTGTTAATCTGCAACACTCAGATATTTAAGAACAGCATCTACATATCAGTAGGCAAAGTTGTCTCCTTTTATCCACTGTTAACTTGCTTCTTTTCCTTCTACAATGGGAGAACAAAACATTAAAGAAAAGAAGAGGTAGAAAAATGGGGGATGATATCCAAAGGGTCTACACACTCTTTCTCAGAACCAAAGCAAAACATTGCCCTCCCTGTGCCCTACTAATATAGGTATGCCTACAAATAATACAATTAAGTATTCATTATGTTAAAAGCTAATTTTAATAATCATAAGTGTTTCAGAGTTCAGATTTCTTCAGATTTTGGGATATCTACATATACATAATGAGATATCTTGGGGATGGAAGCTAGTCTAAACATGACATTAATTTGTCTCATATACACTTTACAGATACAGCCCAAGGGGCATTTTATACACTTTTTCAAAACTTCACCCATGAAATCCACTTATGACATCAAGAGATTGCTCCAAAATGTCAAGATTTTGCATCATTTCATATTTTCAAGTTAGAGATGCCCAAGCTGTGCATGTAAATAAACCTGGAGAACAAAAGTGATTTCTAAAATAACTTACAGAAATATATTCCTAAAATTTCATAAGGCATCTCATGTAATAATGCAGAAACTTATAAAAATGCCTATTTAGCAAGTGATAATTTCTCATGAAACACAAAACATTCACTGCTAAATAATGCCATAAAATGGTTTACTAAAATAGAAATTGATATTTCTTTGTGAGATTTACGATTTGTGAATTCATAATTGTATCACAAAGATATGATAACATAAAGTATCATAGAATATTCTTTTTCATAATAGTAGTTATGTTGAAGATTTCTAAATTCTATTCCCAGGTGTGGTTATATTTCATTAATTACAGTAAATTGCGGTGGAAATATGACCACAAATAAAGAGATGTATCTCTTAACAGTGCGAGTGCAACCACAGATAAAAAACAAAGGTACATCCCTGGCACCACCTTATACCAAAATAAAATTGTAAAAACATAAAACCATAAAAGTGTGAGAAGAAAACACGGATGGATATTTTAAAAACTGCAAGGTAGAAAAGTACTTCTTTTTTTTTTTTTTTTTTGACAGGCAGAGTGGACAGTGAGAGAGAGAGAGAGAGAGAAAGGTCTTCCTTTGCCGTTGGTTCACCCTCCAATGGCTGCCGCAGCCGGCGTGCTGCGGCCGGCGCACCGCACTGATCTGAAGGCAGGAGCCAGGAGCCAGGTGCTTTTCCTGGTCTCCCATGGGGTGCAGGGCCCAAGCACCTGGGCCATCCTCCACTGCACTCCCTGGCCACAGCAGAGGGCTGGCCTGGAAGAGGGGCAACCGGGACAGAATCCGGCGCCCCGACCGGGACTAGAACCCGGTGTGCCGGCGCCGCTAGGCGGAGGATTAGCCTAGTGAGCCGCGGCGCCGGCCAGAAAAGTACTTCTTAAGCATGATTAAAATCAGAAAACACGAGGCCGGTGCTGTGGCGCAGAGGGTTAATGCCCTGGCCTGAAGCGCTGGCATCCCATATGGGCGCCAGTTCGAGGCCCGGCTGCTGCACTTCTGATCCAGCTCTCTGCTACGGCCTGGGAAAGCAGTAGAGGATGGCCCAAGTCCTTGGGCCCCTACACCCGCATGGGAGACCTGGAAGAAGCTCCTGGCTCCGGCCGTTGTAGCCAATTGGGGAGTGAACCAGCAGATGGAAGACCTCTCTCTCTTTCTCTGCCTCTCCTCTCTCTGTGTAACTCTTTCAAATAAATAAATAAATCTTAAAAAAAATCAGAAAACACAAAACAAAAAAGCTTTCAATTACATATAAATTAAATATTTAACTCTTCCCATTTTACTCTCCCTCCCACCCATTCTCCCCTCCCCCGCCGTTTTATCTGAGAATGAAAAAGAAGAAAAAAAGAACAAATGGAATTAAAAACCTAAAAGAACTGTTCCTTAACAGTCTATACAAGGGCTGTTCTATGTTACTGCTTCTCAAAGGTGATTTCACTTTTTTCCCCCATTCCTCTTTTCCCTTCCTTCCTCCCCCTTGTTCCCTTTTAGAAACTTTGTTTTTAAAGAAGAACCCAAAGATGATACATCTTTTTAGAGCTCTTAGAGATAACTATAACTTATGAGACATAATAATGTTGTACACATTATTCTAACACCAACACAAATATCCAAAGTTTTATGTACAAAAATCTGCCTTGGCTATGGAAGCCTTTTGGATCCATTAGCTCGACAAGGCCATAAGCAAAGTGGAAGTTCTCTGCTCCCTTTAGAGCAAAGTACATCCTTTGGTGGCCCCTTCCACTGGGGTCTCAGCCATAGGGGTCCCTTATGTAGGACATTTTTTGCCACAGTGTCTTGGCTTTCCATGTCTGAAATACTCTTCCTGGGCTTTCCAGCCAGACTGGAGTGCCTTAAGGGCTGATTATAAGGTCGGAGTGCTACTTAAAGTGAATGTCACCCTGTCTGTGAGCCTGCTGTATGGACTGCTTCCCATGTTGGAGCCTTCACTCCATCTTCTCTCTTTAGACAGTGACAGGCAGAGTTAGTGAGAGAGAGAGAGAGACAGAGAGAAAGGTCTTCCTTTTCCATTGGTTCACCCTCAAAGTGGCCACTATGGCCCGCATGTTGCGGCCGGCATGCTGCACCGATCCGATGCCAGGAGCCAGGTGCTTCTTCCTGGTCTTCCATGCGGGTGCAGGGCCCAAGGACTTGGGCTATCCTCCACTGCACTCCCAGGCCACAGCAGAGAGCTGGACTGGAAGAGGAGCAACCAGGACAGAATCCGGTGCCCCAACCGGGACTAGAACCCAGGGGTGCCGGTGGTGCAGGCGGAGGATTAGCCAAGTGAGCCGCGGCGCCGGCTCTTTCACTCCTTTTTAATTCTATTATTATTTCCATACACTTAGTCCTATTTATATGATCATTTTATCACTTGATCCTATCTCTATGTTCACTTTACAACTTAATCCTATCCATTTGGTCTTTATAACACTTAAGCTACTATTTTTATCAGGAAAGGCATATTCTGAATGAGAGCTTATTACATTAAATGTTACATATATTAGGATGTATAAAGAACATATAGACCTCATCAAAGGATTAATAAAAAGATAAAAGACAAAAACACAACTGGTAAGTGGGCAAAGTATATGAATAATCAATCACAAATTACTTAAAAATTGTCCACAAACACAAAAAGATGTTCAACTCTACTGTATAAACATTAAGATTCACTTTTTAAAACTCTTTGGATTGGCAAAGATTTTAAAGGGTGATTTACGCCCTGCAAATGTGAATACTCTTTTTTATAATGTTCATGGGAGTATGAATCGGTTCACATCTCCTGGGAAGTGACTCAGAGTATTCACCACAACATAGTGCATAATCTTCTATATTAAGACAAGTCCAGGCCGGCAAGGTAGCTTAGCAGGATGGGCCTCTGCCTACAGTGCCAGCATCCCATATGGGCACCGGTTGTGTGTCCTGCCAGCTCCTTTTCTGATCCAGCTCTCTGCTGTAGCCTGGGAAGGCAGTCGAAGATGGTCCAAGTGCTTGGGCCCCTGCATCCAAGTGGGAGACCTGGAGGAAGCTTCTGGCTCCTGGCTTCGGACAGGCTCAGTTCCTGCCATTGCAGCCCTCTGGGGAGTGAACCAGTGGATGCAGGACCTTTCTTTCTGTCTCTAACTCTACCTCTCAAATAGAAAAATAAATAAAAATCTTTAAAAAAGAAAAGAGCAAGTCTAGTTGTACACATTATTCTGACACACAACACAAATATCCCAAGTTTTATATACAAATATTTTTAGTATAGTAACCTAAGGCAGTTGAGACCATTAAATGACTCAATAATTATCATATTAAAATGATTGTATGCATAGCAAATGCCAAAATGAATGTTATGCAGCTATTATAAAGATTAAGATGGATTCATGCAAACCAACATGAGAAAAGAAACCTAATTACTAAGTTTAAAGATCTCACTTTCAAAGAATGACACATATATTTTGAATACACATGAAGCTAGGGTCTGGTGCTGTGGTGTAGCACTGGCATCCCACTTGGGTGTCACTTCAATTCCCGGGTGCTCCATTTCCATCTTCCTGCTAAGGTAACAGGATGGCCCAAATGCTTGGGCCCCTGCATCCACATGGGAGACCTGAGGAGGCGCTTGTGTCCTGGCTTTGACTTGGCCCAGCTCCAGCCATTTGGGGAGTGAACAAAGGATGAAGATCTCTCTCTGTCTCTCCCGCTCTCTAACTCTGCCTTTCAAATAAAATAAATCTTAAAAAAAAAAAAAAATATATATATATATATACACACATATGAAGGTAGTAATTACCTATAAAAGT